AAGTTTATTCGAAAGTTAACAATAGACGGATCGAAACGCACAAATGACATGACATTACGAGTCTTCATAGCCAATAACATCACGGCTTAACTGACAGACGACCAATAACATCGGGACTTACAGCGAAATTCCTTGTATCGCGCTGCGCGTAATGGAAAGTTAGAAGGGATTTCGGGTTTTTCTGTTCCGTCAATCATTTTAAAGAAGGCGGGGTTAATGCAAATCACAATGTAATGTTCGCCCAGCTTGGCTGAGAATGACTCTAGACTGTTCAAGAATTGCTAGGGAAATCGCGACGGTGAGTGGATTTTTTGTCGAAGGAGGAAGGCAAACGTTGCTTTATTCTTACAAGTGACACGGATAAGAAAGATCAGAAAAATCTGTGTGGCAAACTTAAAGAAGTCGAATATTGCCCGAAACAGGATGATCACAAAGTAATCAACCATGAAACACCAGAGAAATAAAACGGATCGAAATCTACCAATCACGAATCACAAACCATGACCTTTTGAAGTCTTGCAAGTAAACATGTGTTTCCTAAGAGGTCCGCTAAGATGATTGACTGAACAGAACAACCCAAGAGTTGCAAAACGCACAGCGCTATACAACGAATGTCGTTATAATTGACCAATCAGGTTAATAACCAGAGTTTAATACCATCAACTGACGTGATACAACTCACTTTGACTCTGAAGATGACTACCGCACAGGTTGTCGAAACGTCGGTTACTGTCAGCAACAGTCCTATTCAGGACTACGTTACCCGGACGACCATACTCAACCTACTTATGAAACTTATGGGTTCAAACCTTTCGCAAAGAGAGGGGAGTAAATTTCATAACAGAAAGGAAGACTCTTTGCGTTTTTAGGTTTTTGTAACACGGTGCAAACAACTGCACAGTAATTTTTAAGAAGTTATAGTAACTCCTCTAGGGGGTTAATTTAACTCCTTTAGTGGAAAGAATCAAGAAGCGCGGGTGTAACGGAAATGTTTCTTCGATGGTGTTTCCGTCGCCTAGTATCAAGGTCTTTCCTTGTAAGTCTTTTTCGGTTGCCCCAATGGAGAAAGTTTCCAGATATTTGCCATAAATAATGATCACCCCTATTCTACGGCGCATCTTGATTTTAAAAAATGTCTGTTTCAGGTTTTCGTGGTAGTCTAGTCGTGGAATTAGCTCATAAAGGGCAATGCAGAACGTTTCCCTGTTGTAAGCTTCATTCTCCAACGTTCATAAGAGTCATCCAAAGCGACAGCCGCCTCGTATGTCCAGTGAAAGAGCTCTATTATGTCTGCCATAGCCTTTACTAGCCACTTAGCAGAAGGGGCTGGCCTGAAAAAGTCATTGTAAAATTGGGAACTCAATTCTGTACTTGTTGCAGTTAAACTAATGGCAGGAATCCCAGCGACCTTTAGTAAGCTTGTTACCAATGACGCACAGCTAGAGTCTAGAGGGGCCTATTAGCGCTGAAATGGGCTGGGACCCGACCGACCTTGGAGAATTGCTCTTGACAGACGTAAAAGTGTCCGCAGAAAACCATTTTTCTTGTCTAAGTTATCATCTTTATTCTTGCCGCCTGAAACAAATTACGTTGTGAGGTAGCCACCTAGTAATACGTCAGCAACAATCTCTTAATTTCATCGAGAGAACTGATAATCTAAAGCGGTTTTTATGTTTGTATATATACTTGCTTAATGTTGCTGGTTGACTCTCTAACTCAAGACTAAGCACCAATCATTCCCACGACCTGCTGGACACGAATAGTTTGAGTCGTTTAAGAAAGCTCGTCGTGAAACACTTAATTTTACATATGACAATCTTTTTTGAAGTGAGTATCATTCCAAAGTCATTTATTAGTCATGATTAAGAAAAAATTGTGAAAAGGAGGCATCAGGCTGGCAGTATTTGATAAAGAGGACTCACTTTCCATCTGGAATAGTTTCTCGAGCACAAACAGCAAACCATTACTTTAAGAGGGTTCGATCGCTATCCAATTTTTGTGCTAAAATGTAAACTCACTGTAAATGGTGTTTTTTTCTAAAGCAGCAAAACTTATCATTTAAATTGGGCACTATACAAAAACGAACTCTAAGTCTTTTGCATCGCGCTGTATCATGTCAAGCTACAAAAGAAGCACTGGTTTTGACTTGTGTCAATGTTGTAGCACACTAAGGATGTTTCCACAGGCATCGCATGCACTCACATATCTTACCTTGACATTTCTCTGTTTTTAAACCGGCAGAAATTTCTCGAAGAGCTTCTTTAAGTGAATTTAGACTGGATTGCTTACCTTAAGATGACCGCCAGCAGAGATATAAAAGGAACCCGTCCTTTTCCCATTGACAATTTTTTTAGTTTTAAATCGTACAATGACATATGACTTCTAGATCGAAATTAAGTCGTAATTGTTAAGTTACAAAAAATGCTTTTTGAAATGAGGTAAGTAAGCACCTTAAACATATGAGTCGTTGTAAAATGTTTTGTAACTTTCAATTAGGCAATTAAATACAAATTCGGTTTTCAATGTCTTATCCCACATGAATTTTCTTAGTTATGCAAAATTTGCTGTCTCCACCTGTGTTTTTTTGCCTTAATTGGAAATTCCTGTTAGCTTAGTAGTGGGCACGAACGCCTGAGGAAAAGAAACAGACGGAGGTAACTAATTTTGCCTTCCACTCCCCATTTAATGAGTGTCTCTTTATTCCGGATGAAAGATGTTCGGCGGAAGTGTCCTGAAGACGTTTTCCCGCTATTTTAAACTAAGTCTACGCTTGTGGCAGATGAGTTGATGCTAGGAATATCAACGAATTGAAGAAAGCTTCCAACTAGCACGTGCGCTGGCGGATTGTTTCAGGACCAATAAGCACTGACAATGAATGAATGAATGAACAACTTTATTAAAACGTGTCAAAATCTTCTAGCTGGCCACAAGTAGCCTACTAATCGGGGACACCTAGTTAATAAAATCTATTTAATAAGCTTAAGATTACATTTGATAATATTTACAATAAACATTCACTATAAGATTACATTAATAACGTTAAAATATTAGACATAAAAATGAATAAATAAATAAGTAATAACAATAACAATAAAATAGTCCACAATCCAGTTAATCTAAAAGTAAATTAACAAGTGCGGTCTCAAATATTACACAAGTTACAATTTAAACATCTGTTCTCAGCTAGGAAAGGTCTTTCTTCCGAATACTCGTTTTGAAAGCCGATAATGTGGCTAGGTCCCTGTCCTTTTTCGTCGATTTGGACCATAAAAATGGTTCCAAGGTATCTAATAGAGTGTCTGCCATATTTCACGGTATTGAACCTAGGAATAAAGAAGTCTGAATTTCGTAGGGTTAATTGGCTTGCATCTGTTTGCATGGTACCGTCTATTGCAAAATTATCTTGCATGAAGTCGCAGGCTATTTTCACCGCCACATTCGTGCTAAAACAGTAGTTTCGTATGTCATAGGCGAGTGTCACGTTTGAAAGAAAAACGGGATTCTTGTTTATGCGTTGAATAGCCAATATTATAGCTTCTTCATGCCCAGTTCTGTTGTGAAAAGATTACCGCAGCGATTATCACTCTCAACTAGGGAAGAGTATGCTGAGCAGACCGGCACACCACTGTGAGATGCTAGAAATAGTATCCAAGTCTGTTCATTGAGTTTTTGAGTAGTTGCTTTTGCAAAAATCGCACTTCCGTAAATGCCAGAAAGCCAAACGATGCTCACTGCGGTTTCAGACTTTCATTTTAGGACAGCTTGACTGATTTTATCTTTGTAGTCTAGCTGCGGGATATACTCAGAAAAAATAAGGCGAAAGGTGTCTGTGTTTTAAAAATACCATTCTATTCATAAGAATCATCCAAACGCACCGCCGCCACGTATCTCCAGTTGAAGAATTCTATGATGTCTGCCACTGCCTCTCCTTGGCAGACATCTGGTGGAACTGTTCTGGAGAGGTGTTCTTGGACGTTTGAACTAAGCTCTATGCTCTTTGCAGTGGGGCTTATGGCGGGAATATAAAAAATTTGAATAAGGGCCACCTACTAGTACCGCACCTCCAGCATTGAAAGGTGCAAGAAGTGCTGAGATTACCTTGGTTTTGTTTTTCGTGACACAGCTGTTCGAAAAAAAGCTGGCGTTTTGATTAGACCTGGATAATTACCACGCATTAGTTCATAGGCTATTTGCATGACCAATGCACCGCTCTAACAGAGGTCTCTTAACTCGTAACCGATTGGCACGTTCGGAACAATAGTGAAATTCGTGTTCATTTTCTCGATGGCATAGATCATAGACTTTGCATTGCCAAGATCTGTTGTAGAAAGCCTGTTACATTGATTACCAGTTTCAGAATAGTGGTTTTTAAGGAGTCCTCAATTATTATTTTGCCATCTTTATAAATTTTATGCGCATATTTGGAAGTTGTTTGTTCATAGCCAAAAAAGAGTGGCGGTTTTAAGATGCACGAAGGCACTACGTTTTGAATGATCGTCACCGTCCTTGTGTGGTTTGGACAGAAACAAATTATAGACTGTACATTTATACATTTTTCAGGAAAGCATAATATTTTATCCACAAATCTGTATGATTCCTACCTACCTTCAGTCAATCATGTATTAAGGAAACTTGTATTTAAAAGCGTTCACCCTTAACACCCTAACTGACCATAGTGTCAGAAACCATTTCCCAAATTTGCCACTTCTGCATCTTCATGGTACACTCCGTATACTAAGTGAGAAAAACTAGCCCCCTCTGTTCCCTGTGTTTAATTACATGTGGGGCTACCTGTCAATACCCCGGCTCGGTCTCGTTCGGTTGTTAATGTTCGTTTTTCTGTCTATAAGTTCACTCAGGTTAGCAAATATAAAAACAGGTCCTGAAGGAAATTGTTTAAATTCTTCTTTTCCCTTGTTTATTCGCTAAAAGAATAGCTGGTTGACAAACTGGAGAATTGTAACTTGTCAAAGTTCACTTGTACAGTCCCTCTTGCTGTTTCACTCCAGAGCAACGTTGGGTACTCCATCATTGATCGGAGCAGGGAAAACTCTTGTTGCCGTTACGTTATTAAATGAGAAATTCATCACCTGCGACCTGACGCTTTGCATGGAGTTTTGCTGGGGACGGAAGAGAAGAATGAAGAGTTTTGGTCCGAACATGCAGCCCAACAAGCCAAACGAAGTTATTAACGCCGTAGAACATGATACGAGTGTTACGTACCAGCTGTCAAAAGCAAACGCCACAGGGTAATATGCTATTGATGACAATAGTAGAATGTACATAGAGAATCCTATGTATTTTGTTTCGTTAAAGTTCTCGGGAATTCCTCTTGCTTTGAAAGCGTAATATGTGCAGAAGAGAGCCACAATTAAGGTGTAACTACAGACTGTGATGAACAGTGCAAGACCAATGTTTGTCTCGAAAGAATTGCAAACAATAAAGATGTACTCATCTGAGCGGATGATCTTTTTACGCCTTGGAGGATCCAGAACGATCCACAGGGCCAACAGAGAGAGGGCAGTTAAATTCATAACAAAAAGGAAGACGAGTTGCGTTTTTAGGTTTTTGTAACACGGTGCAAATAACTGCGCAACTTTATCAACCTCAAAAACGCTTGCGATTCGCATCGTTTTCAAAAACAGCACCGTAATACAAATATTGAGAGCGAAATAACGCCAGAATGTCGCTGCACTGCAAAGTAATTTGCTGGGCTCTGCAAGTTCAAGGACGGCTAAAATAAAAACTGCTGAGATGCCAAACAGCAAGAGAAGAGAGATTTCCCTGCTGGAAGCCTTCACGATTGGGGTATTGTAAAACTTGACCCAAGTACCGCAGACTAACAATGTGAGGATAATTCCAACGAAAGCCACCAATGTAATAGTTATTCCAGTGGCGGTTGTGAAGGTGATGTTGACAATAGGTAACTTCTCACACCCAGTGTGCCCTTCATTTGACTTTGTCTCTACCTCACACTTTGTACAGGTGGTGGATCCAATGTCGGTGCTGATAGTTCCAGGTAGACACTTTTTACATTCCCAACAGCATGGCTCGGTGATTTCTTTTCTGGTGCCAGGCAAGCACTCTGAGGAACAGAACGAAAACTGAGTCGAGAGGCTTTTCCATTGTAATCCCGAGACATTTAAATTGAGTCTAGGCGTACCTTCTCTATCCCAGACTCCAATCCGAATCTTTTTACGAGCTCCCTCTGTGGTTGATCTACTTCGAAAGTTAATAATGTCGTATGAAGCAGATAAAGGATCACCAAACATGTCAAACTGAACTTTGCCAGTTAAACCATCAAAACTAACATTTCGGAGATACTTCTGTAGATCACGTCCCTTAACAATCGGCTGTTTCGAGGAAGAACTATCTCTATTCGTAACTAAATTGTGGTTAATGTTATCCAGAGCGTGCGCAATAGCGTAAACAGCGTCAATGTCATACGACACGAAAGAGTTCCGGATCTTTTTTAGGGCATTGTGTAGCGTTAGATTTGATTCGCAAGTTGGAATTCGTCCCAGATCAATTGCTGAGCAGTTAAATTCTATTCTCCAGAATTCCTCCCACCACTCCCTGCCTCTTTCAAGGCTTTTTGCAGGGGTGATAATCTTAAGATGCTCTTCAAAGTCGGGTACTGGATAGTCATGTGGCTGTATTCCTAAGGAGCCATCAAGCATTGCGAAGTTAGGGTCAAGTAACAGAGCTTCTTCCGAGGTCAATGCGTCGCTGAGTATCCAAGTCTTTTCTACAAGGTTTTTACTAGTTGCCTCTCGAAAAAATTCTCTACCATAATCGCTTGCTAGCCAGACGACGATCACTCCGATATTAGACCTGAGCTTAATCTTAGCAACCGTTTGCTTGATCTTATCATCATAGTCTCGTCGTGGTATGTGCTCCGAAAAGGCAACGCAGAAGGTTTTTCTGTTGTATGATTCTTTCTCTAGTGCCCAAATACCATTCCGTCCGTAAGAGTCATCCAAACCCACAGCCGCCACGTATGTCCAGTTAAAGAGTTCTATAATGTCTGCCATGACCTTTGCCTGCCAGATGTCAGGTGGAACTGTTCTGAAGAAGTTTTCGTGCAATTTTGAACTCAAGTCTACGCTTGTGGCAATTGAGCTGATGGCAGGAATGTCAACGACTTGAAGAAAGCTTCCAACCAGCACTGCGCTGGCGGAAGTGTCAGGACCAATAAGCACTGAGATCGGCTTGGATCCGTTTTGCATGGTATTGTCCTTTGCAGAATTATCTTGCATGAAGTTATAGGCTATTTTCACAGCCATGTCCGTGCTAAAACAGTAGTTTCGTATGTCATATCCGAGTGTCACGTTTGGAAGAAGAACGGGATTCTTGTTTATGCTTTCAATAGCGAATATTACAGCTTCTACATGCCCCAGTCCAGTTGTGAAAAGATTACCGCAGTGATCATCACCCTCTGGTAAGCGTATGCTGAGCAGACCCCCAATTATTACGTCGCCATCCTTGTAAGCTCTAAAACCGTGGGTGCAGAATGTTTGTGGAATAAATGGGGATATAAACAGAAATAGTCTTAAGACGCTGGAGAATACTTTACTTCTCATCCAAGTCATCGTCTTTGTATGCTGTGCAGTACCCTGGAGGAAAATCATATTGATAGACATATGGACATGCTAACATGATTCCCCTAAAATATTTCCCAAGCCCGCTGGAGATAGCCAGACACACAAAAAGAAGTGTAAAGAATCAAATTATTATCTTTAGGCCGTTTTGTCCTTTTCGTTCATGTTTAACAAACGGAAAAGGAAATATCAAAGCAATTTGGATATAGCCTTAACAACATGATTAACATATACCCTTGCTTAGTCTTATTTTATTGTGAACAATATTTCGTGAATTGAAAGGAAGGGTTGTCCGACGGCGGTTTTCACCTTGCTGAGGATGATCGACGTTTACCCTTTACTGGAGGAAAAAGGTGGCACCAAACGTTTCAGTAACTGTGACTATGATACTTTACTAGAGCGGGCCGATACACCCAGCCTGGCAAATACGAGAATTAGCAATATGATGATGTGTATTTTGAAATGCATTAACTTAATTAACTATCCAGAATACCTTAAAGAGGTATTTCAGTTTAGCACGACTGAATATAGCTTAAGAGGTACGAATGTGTTAGTCTGGCCAAACCCCAAACACCTACATATAGCCTTAACTCAGTTAGAAATGCCGCATCAGAAAGGGGGGGGGGGGAAGGGTACTTCCTTATAAGAGGCTAATGGGGAGGTGCCGCTGGATGGGGTCGCATTTTCAATAGAATTGCTAGATTGGTGTCGCACACTTTCGGATTTTTTGGGTTAAGACAGTTCTTCATATTTGAGGTTAGCAAACGCACCAGAATGTTTGTACCGTAGATGGAAAGTAAAGTGTTCTTCATTAAATCTAAAAAATGGGTCAATTCACAAAAATAGAAAGTGACTAAGTTGGGATTGCGAAAATTACATATTTTCTCTAAAAGTGACTAAGGTGGGTCTAAAATTGGCCACAGAATAGACTATAGTGGGGTAGGGGCTCTGAGAGGCCAGCGGCACATGTACCTACCATGCAGCAAAAATTAACCCAAGTACCCTCCCCGGGATGCCGCGGCGAAATATTGGTACTCGCCTCCCGATTCTTTTAGGAGAACCAATAGTCTGAAGGAACTTAGACGTTTACTTGTTTCTCATAGTTCCATAAATTAGACGTTTGCTATTACCAGCGGTTTGTGTTTTAATGTAATTATGATTTTTATGTGTGATGTTGTATGTGTCACTCAACGGAGATACTAGCCTTTAGGCTACTCTAAAATCTGACGTTAAATAAAGTTATGAATTTTTGTAGTAGTAACTTTGACAATTTTGTTACTCAAACGGTGTAAATGGTTTATCATTCGAAAAGCCTTCAAGTCAAGGCCGTAGAGGAAACATTAAAATTGAGTGATAAGGTATTTGTGAACATTCTGACTCAAAATGGCACACGGAAGAAACAGTAATATATTAACTTCTATCGTCATTTTCAAAACGACCAAAAAGAATCCTTTTGTCATTGGAGGTTAGAGAAAAAACTAAATTGTTGAGTTTAGAGTCCTTTCCTTTCATATCCAGAAAGGTCGATAAGCTAAAAAATATTGTCATATTCACAAGGTGTCTTCTGATTTTAAGACAGCAAATTTCTGAGCAGGAATTTAGTGCAAAAGGGAACTACTACTAGTAGTAACCTTACCGATACATGAATCACATTCAGTATGCTGGGAACGGTTCCTCGCTCTCTTAATCTTGCGCCAAATCAGTGACAAAACCTGTTCTTTTTTGGTTTCACTTATATATTTTTTGTATTCAACCCAAAATAATCAACTTGGGCGATGTCAGGAGAAGTAATAATACGATTGTTGTTTTACTATACCATCTGTTTTTGCGTGGGTCCATTTCAAATTTAAATAAACCATTAATTTTTTGGTAATCTTCTCATTGAGTGAAACCATTGGTAATTTGACTGGAAATTTTGACTACTTTGACACTCGGTGATCGGATAAGTCATTTACAATTTAAAGTGCTCCTACGACGAAAATGTTTTACTTCATTTCCTACTTTTTAAAAGGTTCGAAGATATACAATTCGGGATAAATTAGATACTTGCGTTCTCCAAGTGGACATCTTTGATTGAAAACTCGCAAAAACCGTCTGCCTTTTTTCGTGATACGCAACATAAAGCCAGTGAGATTTTACTGACGTGGTCTTACCTTTTACCACATAATTTATTTTGTTGTTGTGACGTAGCAGACTAGTCTTAAGACTAATGGTTGGTTCGTTGCGTCGTTTTCAGAGTGTGAAAAATGTTTTGCTTAACGTATTTATTATCTGATTCATATGAATGTCATTTAGAACAATGTTTTATTGGCAGATTGCTCTGAGATGATAAAAAAGTCCCTCGCTATCGATCAAGAAGGCGCGCTCCGAACAAATATAAGAACTATAGGTCCAGAGGAGATTCACCCAGCAAGCCGAAGTAAATATATGTGAGCTTACGAACGAGAAATACCATATGTTGTGCAGCGGGAGGGTTTTGTTAAACATATCGTATGCCTTGGAAACTGCCATCCGGGAGGCCAACCTTTTGTTCACATTTTAATAATCATTGTGAAGCTCAGTGGCTCTCTTGGACTCATTTTATCAGATAATTTGGAGCAGTTCTCCCACAAGTATTGTGAACACTGCTTTTTATTCGCCTACACAGTGTATAAAAAAGGCTTTTATCTTATGGTGAAGGGAAAGAAAAGATTTTTGAAATTTTTCATTGAGTATTTTAAGCATATCAGCAGGTGCCCGGGTGTTAATTCGTCGAATGCAGTAATAACTAAGTGGTTTAAGAACCGGCTAGCAGAAGTTTGTCATTTTATTTCTCAGAAAAATATAAAAACCTGTTTAGCCAAGCCAGATCAGGCAAGTTTTTATATGTTGGTTTTAGTTAGATTATTCAAGAAAATTTTCACTCAGGAGTTTGTCTTTGATATTGCAAGTTTATATTAGAAGAAAATACTTTACTTTACTTTAAATGTTCCTGCTCATATGTTTCTGTCCTCTTCGATGTATTAATTTAAATTTATCCTGTGAAATATGTATACAGTTGAACCTCTCCACAATGGCCACCTTGGTGACAGAAGAAAGCGGCGGTTGTAGAAAGGTGGCCATTGTAGAGAGGTGGCCGTTGGTGGAGGTTACTCTTAATACAGGTTACAGAAATCGGTAAATATAAACGAAATGTATAATGTCCCACAATAAAAACTGAAAATTATATAAACTTCGTTTTAAAGACCTCTAACTTTTTAATTACCAGATTTCAAATGAGGTGGCAAATTACTAAAAGCTTGGAGTATAGTATGAAATTGCAGCCTTTCTTTGCAGATTCTGTACGTACCTTAGGAACTAAACCTTTATGCATAGTGATGACTTGATAAAATAATTCCTAAACAAATCTGGAGCATTGTTATGAACATACTTAAACCTTCACGTAAACTCAAAGGTTGGATTATGTATACAGTCGAACCTCCACTAACGGGCACCTTTCCACAACGACCACCTCTCTACAACGGCCACTTTTTTGGCGGACAGTCCATACATTGACTCTTGATGTTTAAACTTCTCTAGAACGGCCACTTTCTTCTGTCCGTAAGGTGGCCGTTGTGGAGAGGTTTAACTGTACTAAGTAGAACGTGCCTTATGGGACACTCAGCTTTATTGGAATAACAGCTGATTGTGTGAGGCTATGTTCACACCACAGTCAAACGTCTTTAATAAGGACACCAAAGGGACAGAAACAAGTGTGCGCTTTAGAGAAGTGTCCGTATTATAGAGGTGTCCGTAAGGATAGGTTAGACTGTTCGGTCCAACTGCTCCTTACGGACACCTCTCTATTACGGACAGTTCGTTTGGTCCTAGAATTGCCAAAAATCATACATTCCTTACCTCTATAATACGGATACTTCTGTAAAGCCAACACTTGGTTAGTCCCTAGTGTCCGTATTAATCAAAAGAGGTTTAATTTGACTGTATATCGGATAGCTTTTGCGCCGGCACGCCGGAAACTTCACTACGCTTAACAACGTCAAATGATTAAGTTGCATAGCAGTTAAGTTTCAAATATTGCATATTCAGTTTTCTTAGGATGATAGAACAGATCGTTCTTGTTTGACCAATCCAAAAGGAATTTGAGTTCGTCATTTAACACTTAAAATAGCTGGTTTGCATCTGAGGCAGCGTGATAGAGGACCGTATAACCTGCGTGCATTAACTCATTGAAAGCTGTCAAACAATTAGGTACATCTGTGACAAACAATGAAAATACCAAAGGGCCCATAATAGAACCTTGATGAACTTTGGACACCATTTGCTGTGGAATGGACATATTACACCTCTTAGAAAAATAGCTGGTTATGATCAGTAATATAAACAGTCATCCGGTGATGTTCACCTTCACAAATCCCAAATACGTGCAGCTTATCAGGCCTATCTGAAAGTTATGTTATCAAATGACCGGTAGTGGAACTCTCTTACAAAGTAAATAAGCCATTCGGATTTGTGAGACGGTAATATATACCCTAAACACAAAACGCTAAACCTAAAATTTGCTACTACTGTTATACCAAATTTAGAGTATCCTGCCGCGATGTGGGTTCCAAACCACCAGGAGTAGATCGATACAATTGAAGAAGAACAGAAACGTTAAACAGGCGATGATCTATGATAACCGTTACGAATATAGAAGAATTCATGTCCAGGTAGTTTTTTTGTCAAGGTAGTTGATGTAGATAGGTGTAGTTGCTATAGTTTTCTGTAGTTTTTGTAGTTGATATAGTTTGATGTAGTTGATATAATTCCTGTTGTTGGTGTAGTTTGGTGTAGTTGCAGTAGTTGCTGTAATTTCTGTATTTGGTGTAGTTTTCTTTAATTGGTCTAGTTTGGTGTAGTCGTTGTAGTTAAGTGTGAATGGTGTT